CCACAAAGGATGCTTACTATGTAATTGGATGTATCTAACTTGGATTAAAGGCATTACAATTTGCGCGCAAATAAAAAAGATCTTAGTAGTAATAGAATAGGGGAGAGGGGGAGAGCGACAGTGTTGCAGGTGCACTATGCTAAAAATGTGTGGGATCAACTAAGTTGGATCAAACAGACACAATGTTTGAAATATTTTGTATGCGGTACAAATCAGAGCGGCGCTTTGTGGTGGGTGTACCTGCATACAGCGCTGTATTTCCTGGGTTGGAATCCCAACTACACACAAGATTATTTATGCGTTTGTATTTATACTTATCTCTAAACAAAGATGTGAGCACCACTATGTTCTAATACTGAAATGTTTCGACGAACCCTGAGCCTTCTCTAAATATAGTAATAGACTAACCTTTTATTGTTTTTATTTTCAGTAATAAATGAGAAAAAAAAAGTAACGAAATATAACCAATATATATATATACTAGCTTTTTACCCGCGGCTTCGCTCGCGTGAGCATGTATTTAGGAACGCCATTAAATACTATTCCGTGGCAAATTTAGAAAAATTCGATCGCTATTAGAGTCACCTCAGTGTCTGTGTCTCTATGTCTGTCAAAGATTTTTTTTAATTCTAAAAGACTATTAGACGTACATTATGCATTGATTATGTATATTTATGTATAGATATAATATGCTACAGGAACACGTGAATTTACCTATATGTATAGAAAACACTTACTATTTTTTATATTGGGCATGTATTCCGATGTATCCATAAGAAAGATAAATTGTCTCGGAATGAAAATGTATTATTATCTATTATTTACATTTTACTCTTTACATTAATTTATTTACTTAAAGTTAATTTAGTTTTAACAAAATAATGATGAGTTTCATGGTCTTCTATCAATTTACGGGATAATGTTTATTTGAGATATTTCATATTGATCGGCACCATAAAATAGATGTAAATATTTTTTTACGTTCGAGTAGACTATAAAATTTCATAAATGCAGTTCTATAGTGATGAATACAGTATACATCATTATAGAACTGCATTTATGAAATTATAAAATTTAGTATACAGTATACTATACATGGAATAAAACTAATGTTACGGATTTTATCACGTTTAATTTTAACTTCTTTACGTGGGACTTTTTTACGCATCTTTGGATGAAAGTTCCATAAAAACATCGTTGATGTGAAACACCGACGCTCCGGGAAGAATAAAAGTATGTCAATATGTTTAGTATCGTCCCAACCATTATATCGGATCTGATATACAACAAATCCTTGCAATAGAACACCAATTCCTACCAATGATGATTCGCGAGCCTTTTGAAATTAAAAAACATCCTAATTTTAAAATGGAAGATGGCTGAGTGCTATCATCTGTTAAGGACCCTATCTATACAAATAAATAAAATTGAAGTGTCTGTTTGCAATGTCAAAATAACAGCTTTTTACTAAATGTATATGAAAGTATATACGGTAGTTACTTATAACAAAAACACAATTTATAAAATTTTTGTCTGTCTGTTTGTTCCGGCTAATCTCCGAAACGGCTGGACCTGGCAGATAGCTGATGTTATAGGAAGTAACTTAGGCTACTTATATTTTAGAAAAACGATTAAGGTTCCGCGCAACATAATTAAAATCCTAAATTACACGCGGGTGAAGTCGCGGGGAACAGCTAGTAATTAATAAAATTAAATTCAAACCCAAGCATACTATTATTTATTGTATTCATTTCTATTTTTATTCTATTCTATTCTATTCTAAATATGATATCAGGTCGTCAAACACCTTAGTCCTCCTGTGACCATGGGTACTGTAAAGTGCCCAAAACATCGGGAATTAAAAAAGTTTAAATTAAACGCGATAAAATCCTTAAAATTAGTTTTATTTTTATTTTACTTATTTATTAAAATTATTAGTCATTGCTTATAAATTTTATTCAAAGTGAACGTGGGAATCACTACACTCATGAACGGGAGTAAAAAAATGTTCGTCTTGTTGTAGAGGTGAAAGAGAATCCGCCACCTCATATCGTCCTGTCGTAAGAGGCGACATAGGAAAACAAACAGGAGATGGGCAGCATCATTTTCCTGCCAACAGATGTATCTAAATAATAATATCTGCGGTTGCCAACCCGCCTACCAAACGTGGCAACTATAGCAAATATCCAGCTACTTGACAATTTACGGGGGAGGCCTAAGTTCATTTCAGTGGACTTTTGATAGGCTGACGATAATGAGTTCTACTCATTTTTGCAACCCTTAATAATTACGGTAGAGTGAAAACAAAAAAGTAACATACTCGAAAATATGAATGAAATAAATACTGCATATACTATTGTCCCATGAAAAGTAAAAAAGTAGCAGCTTACATACATGTTACTATTGGGCACAGGCCGCCGAGTTTTTGGCCAAAAGTCTTCGCTGCGCAATTCCAACGCGGGATGTCCTCAACTGCGAAACTTCTGTTTTCCTTTACCGCCAAAAATGTGGTAAATTGACATTCCAATTTGCAATTCAAATATATGCTAAAATATATAATAATGCTTACGTACCATGAAATTTAAGTTTTAATCAGTTTGATTACCGCCATTGACAAGTAAAATAAAATGAACCTTTGTTTAAGTAAAACCGGCTTTCTTTAATTAGTAAGTAAGTATTTTTCCGCAATAGCCTGTTCATTTACATATAGGTATTCATATGAGCTATGAAACCAGGACTATCAAATATATCTTAATGTGTTTGAAAATATGAAAGCTATTTTAATTTACAAACTGATTTATAAGTCTCGTAAAAAAAGTGAAGTAGCAGCTAATATACGTCTCACTAATGTCCACAGGGCTCATCATTACCTATAGTGTTTTGTGGGCAGAAAAATAGAATATACTACAATGCTTTAATGAATATTAACTGTTTTTACATCTCCACAACTAATTTAATTACTCAGACATCTAGGTTTCCCCACGAAGTTATTCGTTACCACTTTAACGGACACGTGTTAAGTCAGCACGTAAAGTTTTCTATAACAGTTTTGCTCCCGTGCTACGATGAAATCTCACGGCGAGAGCTACACGGCCCTCGTATTTGTTTAAATACAATTTCTAAAAACTAAAACTAAGCTTGTGTATGATTTTTGACCACATCTACCTAGTAATTACCCTTCTAACGATGCCACGAACAAATTTTTAATTATTTACATCGTAATTCAGTAACATTCTATTATTTAATGAGGGCTAATAATCTTCCACTCACCAGATGTCGCTAGTTGTGACTGAGGTAAAGTTTTTCGTTACATAGTGTCAGTTAATTGAGAAATTACTTTTAAATAATAGTTTATCATTATCTAGAGTAGAGTATCTAGAGTATTATATTAATATACAACACTGAGTCAGTGGTTTGATTTTTAATTTTTTGCACTTTATAACTCTTTTTTAAATTTTTCTACTTTAAGTTATATTTATAGTTTGGTTTATTCATTTCTAATGTAATTAATATAAAATTTTTTTGTCAAGCTATATCATGAGGTGGTCAACAAACAGTGCTAAATATCATGAAATGACCACACCATTTCACGAAATGATAGACTACTTTATGATAGGCATATGATCAATTCTACGATCTGGTCACGACATATATAAAAATATGTTTAATAAAGCTATAAAGATAATGAAAATTTTGCAATAATTGCAAACAGACCAGTATTAATCAGTTTACATATAGATTAGTATAATTGAAATAAAAACCTTATCAATTTTCATATTTTTGATAGATGTCACTATTATCTATTGACATTATTACACTTTTAAAATAAAATAACAAAAATACTAAAAAACTAAACGTTACAATTTTTAAATAATTTTAAAAATCTTATCATTTATACATATACATATTTTTATTATATTATTTAATTTATTAGTAACTGAAGGCAAAATATACTAATTTTTCCATTTGAAGATAGATGGCGCTATTTTGATAACTACATCAGTGTATTTTACCAAGTTTATAACTATATTTTAAACTTTATTTATAAATATGATATATGGTATTATTAATATTTGATTTATAAATATTTGAAAAATACCCGTTATCCCGCCTATAACTAATATATAATAGAAAATTAACATTTAAAGGAAGGAAAATACTTAACCTTCTTTTTTTGAAGTTCCGTAATCGGATAAAAAGTAGCCTATAAGTTGACCCGGGTTACTAACTACCTACATACAATATTTTATGTAAATCGGTCCAGTGGTTTTTGCGTGAATCCGGAATACACAGACAGACAGACAGACAGACAGACAGACAGACAGACAAAAATTCTAAAAACCACTGATTTGGCTTGAGAATCCTTTATTTAGTCCCCTGGACTTGTTTTTTCAAGAATATATTAGAATTACAGGCACGACTTTTCTACAGATTTATTATATGTATAGATTCCAGTGCTGGACACGGGCCTTCTCTTATTCCTAAGAGGGTTTTTGGAGCCGTCAATAGTCTGCGGCCTATAAGCGGATGACTTTCAAATCACAGTATTCAAAATTGTCATAAAATATTAGATTAAATTTAAAAGATCATCATACTGTTACGTATTATTTCCTTCATTCATTTATTAATTACGTCTATCAAAATCCACTGCTCAACGTAGGCGTCTCCATAGATTACCCCATGAATTAACTCATATTTGCCATAGTTGCGACACTTGGCAGTAGTGTAAGCAACCGCAGTTTCTTATTTTTTGGTGGTTATTAAAAATACGCTGCTCCTGGTTGGTTTCCCTCCGTCGCCTTTGACGACAAACACGGGACGATATGGGGAAGTGGATATTCTTACACATCCATTACGTAAAACGTAATAGAATCATTATGTTAACTGGAAAAATAGTGATTTTCTAAGTTACCTTAAAGGTTCAACAGCTCATTTGCCATATGTACAAAATATGCTACTAATATTGGGTGTTCAAAATAATTAAACAACTATGTACTTACTTGTCCGCTGTCAAAGTTAAAAGCCATTTTTACAGCTTGAATTCCACGAATACCACTTGTAAATTACAAAAGAAGTCCAAAATATCACAGTTTAGTCTAAATGTCTCAAAAATGTTGTAAATTTCTCAAAAACAATCAAAAACTAGTAACATGCTCTTGTCACATTTTTGTCTATGGTTCGAAGGCTTACAACGTTGCCCGGAAAATCAGGAAAAACTATTGGCACAACTGCATTGTTGTTATGGTAACTATTTAATTCCTTTAAAAACCCTCTTTGTGCACACGCAATATTATTTGTTCTAGAAAATAATAGGATAGAGTAAAACATTGTATATTAACAAAAAAAATCCTTTTAATACGACCCTTACAACCTATCTTAAGTTCGCTGCTGAACGTAGGCCTTCTTCATAGATTTCCTCATAGAGGGGATATTTGCCATACATGCCAAACTTGGTAGGCAGATTGGCAACATAAGTTTATTTTTAATTGATATTAGGAAAACTCTGCTGCCCGTCTCCTGGTTTGATTCCCTTTGACGTCTATTATGACACCCTAGGGACGATATGGGGTAGTGGATATTCTAACACCACCACTACACTACACGGAATTTTATAAGGTTAAATTACAACATTGAGATAGCATCGGTCCATTGTAAGCCTCGTGACACAAAAGGCCTATCTCCCGGAGGGAATTTTATTTTGTAATATAACTGTTTTTTAATAACATATGTTGCGTACATATTTTTTAAATTTTCAATAACCTAAGGTTATCTAATGTTGTTGATTAATTTTACGCGTGGTAGAGTCACGCTGCGGCTATATTATGATTATAGTACCTATGATGGATTGGCTCAATTGAGGAAGTACCACGCTCATTTCGTATTGTGAGCGTAGAGAACCGGAAACCCTTTTTACTGGAAACCAGGCATTCCATCTTAGCCATTTCTGAAAAGTGACGCATCTGAATTTTGATTCTTAATCGAGGATGGATGTAAAAGTCTATGTTATTTACAATCAAGTGGACTGTACGCTCGTTTGTCATCCTATTATATTACCTACTAAATTGAATAAAATATACATATTTAGTTATACTACTATATATATATATATATATATATATATATATATATATATATATATATAGTATCACTTAATGTGTATATATATATATATACAGTATTAAAAAAATGTATGTTATATGTAGCATAAGCAAAATGTAAAGTTACAGTCTATATCCGTTCCAATGCTGGGAGTTAGGTAATTCTTTCATGGGACAATGGCAAAATCCAAGAAAATATGTAATGCAGGTTTACGTGGTAGAGTCATGCTCATGCTATATTAATAGTATAGTTGTAGCTTTCAGTATATATAAAAGTACTCTGTGGTTGTAGCACGAATAGGTCGGCTCGTTCGAGAAAGGACCACGCTCTCACAGAATACCAGCGATGATGAGTGTAGAGAACTGGAGACCCCTTTTACTTGAAACGAGGCATTCCATCTTAGTCGTCACGGGTGACAATGGATCTGCATGTCGTCCTACTGTCGAGGATTGATGTATGTGCTCGTTTGTTACCCTTATTCTTTATTATTCTTATTCGTAACTGGCATTATTTTTACCTCGTTCTCCTGTTCTGTCTTCTTGCAGGCACTGCGTTTGTTCACCATAGTTGCTGGGGGGCTGCGGAACATTGATTCGGATTCGGCTCGAAGACCAAACTTTGTGACTTTTTGGGTGAACTCGCAGTGAAATAATGTTGAATTTATTCGCAAGTTCCGTTTATTTGTACAAATGCACAAAAAACAATCGGACAACAAGAAATCTTTGAACTTGATAACAGAACGCGCGCACGGTTTCGCTTACAGCATCGCCTACACATTAGCTCCCAAAAATTTGAATTTTAATACCGGTACCGCGCGTCCGTGTCTCATACATTTCACAAGGTGTATGCCCACAGCAATGAGGAAGCCAGCACGCGTATTCCGATTGTTCAACGAGGACATTATCCTTCGTCACTCATGGTTTGGCTTGGAGTCTCATATTCAGGCTTAACTGGGATGTTTTTCTGAGAAAAAGGTGTAAAAACCAGTGCCGAGATATACCAAAATACCGTTATAACAAACATAGTGGAACCTCTTTCTCAAACAATGTTCAAAAACAGACATTGGATATTCCAACAGGACTCTGCACCAGCTCATAGGGCACGAAGCACACAAAACTGGTTGACCGCCCGTGGAATTGACTTTATCGGACATGAAGACTGGCCCTCTTCTAGTCCAGATTAAACCCACTGGATTACAAGATATGACAACATTTGGAGGAGAAAGTCTGCGCTACCTCATCAGAATTTGGAATCTCTCCGAGCATCTTTGGTTAAAGCAGCGGCAGAAATAGATATGAATGTGCTGCGTGCTGCGATTGATGATTGGCCGCGTCGATTAAGGGCATGTATTCAAAATAGGGGAGGGCATTTTGAATAATGTAAATAAAATTGTATTCTAAATTAAATTACCTTTCATTTCATATATAATTTCTATATAATTATCAAAAAGTATATTATATCATTAATTTTATAAAAAGTTTTTGACAGAACTTATGACCTGACTTTTATACGTGGTAGAGCCATGCTGCAGCTATATTAGTAGTAGCACGAATGGGTCGGCTCGACCGGGGAGGGACCACGCTCTTACAGAATACCAGCGTAAAATAGCAGCTGAACACTACTGTGTTTCGTATGGTGAGTGTAGAGAACCGAGAAGAGTAAAAAGGGTCTCCTTTTTACTGGAAGGGACGCATTTCATCTTAGTCCTCGCCGGTGACAACGCATCTGCATTTTGATTCGCAAACGAGGATAGATGTAGATGTCTATGAGCTACAGCAACCACTTACCATTAGGTGGACTGTGTGCTCGTTTGTCACCCTATCCTATTAAAAAAAAATATAATACTAGCTGATCCGGCAAACGTTGTTTTGCCATATATATTATTTCTAGGAAGTATTTTTTAGTTCAATAAAAAACCTACGGGATATATCTGATCGATGAGAGTATTTTGCGAGTTGATGATTGTGGAGAAATCGGTTGGTAGTTTTATGCATCCAGTATTTTCATGTACAGCAACTTTTCCATTGCCATTATCTAACAGTTGAGAAAGTTTCGGCGGATCCTGAAGTATTTGAACGCGTATGTTCATTGTCAGTTGTACTTTTTCGACATTACGCCACAATCGCGATGATTTTAGGCAAGCGTTGATTTCATCAGCGTACGTTGAACGTGGAATAACGGGAAGTGTCTGTTTGAAATCACCTGAAAAGAGTATCAGAGTGCCAACAAATAGTTTGTCGTTTTTTTTTATATCTTTCAATGTCTTATCCAATGCCTCAAGCGAATGTTTGTGTGCCATAGTGCATTCATCTCAAATGAATTTACACTGTTTCAACACTGTGGCCATGGACGACAGATTTTTTATGTTGCACACTGCATTTGGGTTATTATGAATGTTTAATGGCAGCTTAAATGCTGAATGAGCTGTTCTGCCTCCATATTATAAAGTTGCAGCAATTCCATATGATGCAACGGCCAATGCGATACCATTTTTGATCGTATCTCGGCAAGAAGTTGCAAAATAAGGAATGTTTTGCCAGTTCCACTTGGTGCATCCAAAAAAAAGAATCCCTGTTGCCCTGCCGAAACTGCCAGCATAATGCGGTCGTAAATTGTTTTTATTCATCATTTAGTAGTGGAACATTGCTAGTAACAATCGCTGCCAGTTCTACAGTATCATACTGCAGTTCACAATTCATATATGTGTTGATTAAATCAGATGCACTTCGATATGGTGAACTCATACCGAAATGACTGATTGGTAAATTCGCAATGGCAATGCAATGATCCTCGATAGCACTCAATGCTTCATTGTATATTGCGTCACTGAGTGATATAGATGATGTACCGGCCAATTTGGTAATTCGTTATTTCATCATTTCTATTTAAAGGAGGAGCATTTACATTAGTATTTTCAATTCTAAATACAGCCATATCACTTCTTTTTTAATAATTTTCATTTACATACTTGCAAATGTATTTGATGCTCTTCACCGAACTGCAGAACTCTACACTAATATGAGCATTGAATGTTTTGCTCAGCAGAAGTGAATATTGTACCACCCAACGATTGTCGATGTCAATATCTGCGTTACTGATAGTTTTAATGAATGATTGTCCGCCATTATCGGTACTTCTTCGACGATATATTGGATATCCGTCAACATGTGTGACCGTATCGTTGGTGAAATCTTTAGGAAAACGATTTGTACATTTTCCGTCTACCATGTAAGGCGATGAACGATTCAGAGCTCCGCATGGACCACGAATCATGTTTGTAGTAACAATATCAAACAGTAATTGGTCAGTAGACGGATCGGGAATTTCTGCTGAAATTAAACTATCGATGTCTTCAGGATGTATTTTGTTGATGAAACAAATCAAAATGTGAGCATGAGGTAATCCTGGCTTTTGCCACTCGACCGAATAGATCCAACAACGTGTGGGGCCAAATACATGTAATTTTGTAATAAAGCTGATTAAATACTTAAATTTTTGTTTAAAAACACGTGCTGTAATGTCATGACGATGTATTGCATTTTGTCCTGGTAATAGCAACGATGTAATTTCCGGACGTTTTGGATTACATGTAAAAGTACCTAATAAAAAAAAACACGGTCGTCCATATTCGCGCATGAAAGTCATAGCATCCTGTATGTATTCTTGCATGTGACGTGTACGATTACCGATGTACGATGATGGTAGAGTTACCAATTTCGACAGTATCAGCGTTGTTTGCAATAGCATCTCGTAAGTGAATATATTCTTCCGCACGCAGCTTCTGTTGGTTATGTCATAAGTATCGTAGTCGTTCACTCTCTATCTTTACGTACATGTCCACCATGAATTGTTGATAAAGCTCACGACATCGTAAAATGACATTGTCTTGACCGCGTCTAATCATCAAACGATACGCATAATAATCTTTCGAGCTAACCTTCTTGTTTGTTTCGGCTCTATATTTAAATTAAGAAACGATTTATTATTTAATAATAAATTAATTATGTTTTTAATAATGAATGAATTATCTGTTACGGGATCTCGTTGTTTATGCAATATCCGCCTTGTCCCTTCCAGAAAATTAGCGGATGTTGGAGAGCGTCATATGAAAGGTGGGTATCAGCAATGAACTGAAGATTATTATTTCTTCTTCGAATCACGATTTGTCGGGTAGCTGTACGATCGCCAACCATGATTCCAGCAACAACAGGTTCGTTGAATCTACGTATATGCTCTCCAGTTGGTGTTCTATCAGGATTGATGACAATATCGTGATTGTCACTTTGTAACTTGGGCATGTCTGATTTTAATAATTTCAATAAATAATATATTATTACTACGTAGCCAGGGGCGTAGCTACCGCCGTATCAGCCGTATCAATGATACGGGGCCCCCGGGCTACAGGGGCCCCCGAACGTGTGTAAACAAAAATTCCAAGGACTTCTATGGGACAGAAAAGGCTACCAATATCGTCTATAGAAGCAAAGAATTTAGAAAAACTGAAATCGCCTTCAGCTATGAATGCCGCCGAATCGTCTTCAGCTATGTTCGCTGAACAAAAGGCAAGAAAAGTGTATATTTAATTGTTTTTGGCTAGCTAGTTCCTAGGAGTATTAATTGTAAGTAATAACGAATATCCCCATGTAATAATCCCCGTGAAGTGGCGGGTAAGAATACTCACTACCCCATATCTTCCCGTGGGTGTCGTAAGAGACGACAGAGGGAAACTGAGGCAGAGGATGGGCAGCAGCATCTTTCTGATAACAGCAAAAAACCAATAAAAACTTCGGTTGCCAACCCGCTCGCCAAGCATGGCAACTATGGCAATATACCCCCCATGAAAGTAACGAAGAGACGGCCCCCAGTCCCCGGCGGCCCCGCTATTCCTGGCTACGGTGGCGACCATGGTAACGGCGGGGCAGGGGTGCTAAGAATCTCCGGTGGAGGTTCGGTTACCACCTACGATGACTCGATCTGGCAACTTATAACGCACGCACCCTGAGGACTGACGAGAAGATACTGGAGCTGGAAGAAAAGATAGACAAGTTGCGCTGGAATATCATAGGATTATCCGAGGTCCGAAGAGAGGGGAGGACACGGTAATCCTCGAATCCGGCAACTTGTTCTATCACCGGGAGGGCGACCATCTGTCCCAAGGATCTGTACCAACAGTGGTAGAGCCACGCTGCAGCTTTTGCTGTCGCACGGATGGGCCGGCTCGAACCGGGGTGGTACCACGACCTCACAGAATACCAGCGTGAAGTAGAGTTTTACCTCTGCGTTTCGCTTGGTGAGTGCAGGTGGCCGGAGGCCCTTTTTACTGGAAATGAGGCATTCCATCTTAGTCCTTACGGGTGGCAACGCATCTGCATTTTGATTAGCAAACGAGGATAGATGTAGATGTCTATGGGCCGCAGCAACCACTTACCATCAGGTGGACTGTGTGCTCGTTTGTCACCCTTATCTTATAAAAAAAAAAGGAGGTGTCGGATTTATCGTCTACAAGTCTCTCATTAACAACATGGTAAAGTTTGGGAGTGTGTCGACGAGGGTTGCATACCTTATACTCAGAATCACCAAACGGTATTCGCTGAAGGTTTACGCACCAACTTCGGCACACCCCGATGAGGAGGTGGAGGAAATGTATGAGGATATCTCTAGAGCCATGCATTCCTCCAAAACCCACTATACGGTGTTAATTGGAGACTTCAACGCAAAAGAAAACGGTGAGCTGAAAGTAGGGAAATTCGGAATAGGGCAACGGAACCCAAGGGGCCAGCAGCTGGCCGACTTCATTGAGAAAGAGGGACTCTTTATGATGAACTCTTTCCTCCAGAAGCAGCCCCATAGGAAGTGGACCTGGTCGAGCCCCGACGGTTCGACAAAAATGAGACTGACTTCATTATGACGACCAGACGACAACTGTTCAGTTATGTCTCAGTGATCGCGAGGGTGAAAACCAGCAGCGATCACCGAATGGTGAGAGGCGCACTGAACCTAAACGTTAAGTAGGAGAGGTCTCGTCTAATGAAGTCAACGTTCCGTCCTCCTCATGCTCTAATCCAAAGTCTCGAAACCTTTCAGCTCGAACTACGAAACCGTTTTCAGTGCCTAGAAGATTGCAATGTAGTATACGATATGAATGACGAGCTCGTGGAAACTGTCTATGCGGTCGGAGCTAAGTTTTGTAAGAACGCCGCAGTAGAACGCAAAAACTCCGATCACACTCTTAATCTCATGGCTGTTAGGTAGGATATGAAGCTGCAGTCTTCAGTAGATTTGACAGCATACAGGCAACTGAACAGACAGATCTCCAAATGCATGCGGCGGGACTTACGCAACTTTAATACTGCTTGTATTGAAGAAGCGATCGAGCGGAACCAGGGCTCCAAAGTCTTTGCTATAGATCTGTCTACCAAAAAGAGCCAACTGTCGAAGCTGAAGACCGAGTGTGGCAGCGTCGTTTCCGGGACACCTGAGATTTTGAGTGAGATTGAGAGGTTCTATGGGCAGCTGTACACGTCATCGTTGGAGTCACACGCAAGTGTGAGTAACGATCCAAGAGCGAGTCTCATCCGACACTATTCCGAAGATATCCCGGACATCAGTCTGAGCGAGATTAGAATGGCTCTCCAGCACCTTAAAAACGGCAAGGCCCCAGGCGAGGATTGAATTACAGCGGAGCTTCTGAAAGCGGGTGGTAGACCGGTACTTGAAGTCCTTCAGAAGCTCTTTAATTCCGTCCTACATGGCGGCACTACTCCGGAGGCGTGGAGCAGAAGTGCGGTGGTCTTGTTCTTCAAGAAAGGCGAGAATGCTCTTTTGCAGAACCACAGACTGATTTCCGTTCTGAGCCGCGTCTACATGCTGTTTTCGAGAGTCATTACGAATCGTCTCGCGCGCAGACTTGACGACTTCCAGCCTCCCGAACAAGCCGGTTTCTGAAAAGGCTTTAGCACTATAGACCACATACATACCCTTCGGCAAATTGTACAGAAGTCCGAAGAGAACAATTTGCCACTATGTCTGGCGTATGTGGACTATGAGAAAGCCTTTGATTCCGTCGAAATTTGGGCGGTGCTGCAGTCCCTTCAGCGGTGCCAAGTTGACTGTCGGTACATCGAAGTGCTGAAGTGTTTTACAGTAGAGCTACGATGGCTATCCGAGTACAGAACCAGAATACGAAACCTATCCAATTGCAGAGAGGTGTAAGACAGGGTGACATTATATCCCCGAAACTTTTCACCGTTGCATTGGAAGCCGTTTTCAAGCTTCTGGACTGGAAAGGATACGGTATCAACATCAATGGCGAGTACATCACTCACCTTCGATTTGCCGACGATATAGTCCTTATGGCAGAATCGCTGGAGGACCTAAGCACTATGCTCAATGACCTCAATAGTGTCTTCCAACGGATAGGTCTTAAGATGAACATGGACAAAACAAAGATCATATTTAATGTCCATGTCACACTTATGCCGGTAGTTGTTGGGAGCACTAAGCTCGAAGTTGTTGACGAGTATGTTTACCTGGGACAATAAGTCCGACTAGGTAAGTCATACTTCGACCGAGAGGTCAATCGACGGATTAAACTCGGTTGGGTAGCGTTTGGGAAAATACACCACATCTTCTCGTCAGGTTTACCTCAAAACTTGAAAACGAAACTGTACAACCAGTGCGTGTTGCCAGTGATGACCTATGGAACTGAGACGTGGTCCTTCACTGCTGGCCGGATGAGGAAGCTCAATGTCGCTCAGCGAGCTATGGAGAGGACTATGCTCGGAGTTCCTCTGCGTGATAAACTTAGAAATGAGGATATCCACAGTAGAACCAGAGTGACCGACATAGCCCAACGGATTAGTAAGCTGAAGTGGCAATGGGCCGGCCATATAGCTCGAAGAACCGACAACCGATGGGGAAAAAGGTTCTCGAGTGGCGGCCACGTACCGGCGGACGAACTGTGGGACGTCCCGCCACTAGATGGAGTGACGACCTGGTAAGATATGCAGGAAGTCGATGGATGCAGGTAGCTCAGGACCGTGCTTTATGGCATTCTTTGGGGGAGGCCTATGTTCAGCAGTGGACTTGTGAAGGGCTGTAATGATAATGAATAACGCATAATCAATAATATATAATAATTTTAATTCAAAGCGAAAACGCTTGTTTTGTTCCTTTTATAAAATCTTTACTCTTCATTGGGGCCCCCAACAAATTTTGATACAGGGCCCATCTAAGGCACGCTACGCCGCTGTACGTAGCTGAACAAAGGGTTCCTCATTAAATACGATAGTTTCCATAGTTGCCACGCTTGACAACCGCAGTTTTCTTTGTAGTTGTTATTACGAAGATGCTGCTGCCCATCTCCTGGTTTTTACCCTCTGTCGCTTCTTACAACACCCACGGGACGATATGAAGTAGTGGATTTTTTTTTTTTATAGGATAAGAGTGACAAACGAGCACACAGTCCACCTGATGGTAAGTGGTTACTGCGGCCCATAGACATCTACATCTATCTTCTATTACAAATCAAAATGTAGATGCGTTGTCACCCGTGAGGACTAAGGTGGAATGCCTCATTTCCAGTAAAAAGGGCCTCCGGCCACCTGCACTCACCAAGCGAAACGCAGAGATAAGCCTCTACTTCACGCTGGTTTTCTGTGAGGTCGTGG